TTAGGTATCACAATTACAACATCGCACTTTGTAGACAGCAGAGACACGCAGATCAGTATCACTATCATAGCAGTTTGTATATCCGGATCCCGTGTCAATTCGAGATATGCGGATGCCCAAAAAGATGAACAATTTTTTAATTTTTAGTGGTTTTGTCAGTAGCTAGTCCATAAAACGGTACAGATCTGCAATTATACCAGGGGGGGGGGGGGGGGTGCACCGTATTTTGTTTTATTTCACCACGAGAATAAGAAGTATTTAGTGATTCCATGAAATACTACAATATCAGACAGCTCCCCAATTATAGACGGTAATTATTTCTGTTTCCCGGAAATTGGGATCATGTTTGTAGCTGACTCGTCCTGAATGCCTTATCTATTCAAATAACATCCGATAAAGTAGTATTATTATCACTGTGGTATCTATGTCATTATGTCATTATTCTTCCTTTTTATATTAAGACTAGAAAGCCCGTGGTAACAGGGATGAAGCTAGTATATAGTATTCTTTGAAAGAAAGTTTTAATCGCATCAAAAATATTCATCCCAACCTGCGGCTGATTTTAAATGTAAAACACAACGTAATTACCACAAAACCGATTAAAATGTCGTTCCAACAATATTTGCACTGTTGCTATGGAACCTTTTGGTTTTTACCTAACTTCCTATTTCTCGTCTAATTTGCACGTGGGCGGTTGTACAGACAGCTACAGACAGAAAGAATCGTTTGTTACCTTACGTGCCCCAAATCTGCTGAACCAGGGGTGGAACCTGTAGAAATAGAATGCGCGCGATAAGGGGTTACTCATATACTGTTACTGTTAGTGTTACATGACAACGTGTATGATAATAAACTTATAAAGGACAGGTCATATTTATCGGTGGTACTGGTACTCATCCGACAGGTTTTTTCGAAATATGTAATTTGTACGCCACTTTATTGACCATAACTGTAAGTCTTATCTGCCCCATGATTGCGATAAATTGAGTATTCAATAATAACATGCTTAGAAGAGTAAATAGCTATAACCGGAAATTTCATATCACCAATTTTAAATATCAAATATGAAATACGAAAATATTCAAAATATTATTATCGTTCGTGTTTTCAGGACTAGCATGCATACTCTGGATAAGTGACCTATCCAAAGTATGCATGCTAGTCCTAGAAACACGAACGATAATATTTTGAATATTTTCGTATTTTATATTTAAATTGGGGAATTATTATTATCTTGGTTATGTAAACTTGTTCAGTACAACTACAAGCATCATGAAAAACTAGCTTGCCATTTTAATTTCAATTTCTTGCATGCGCAATTGAATCCAGTGCAAACTATCAACTTATAACTAAATGCTTAATACTTTCAGAGCGATTCAAAATAAAAAGTCAGTCATATACTGCCCGTAAAATTTTGATCCCACTAAATCACTCGGAAAGGTTCTTTAATTTTTTCCTTTTCACCCTTTTGAAAAAAAGGCAATAGTGAAAGGTTACGAATGGACGATTTTGCAGAAAAACGTGGATTTTGGAGAACGAGATAGGTGGGTTTAAATATGTCGTGTGTCCTTCCTTCCTTCCTTCCGTTCGTTACCATGCAACGAAAAAGTTGGGCGCGCGCGAGGATTGCTTGCGGAGATGTGATGTTTAGATAGCCTGTGATCTATGAATGCGCGGCGCGACTGTGTTTTAATGTATATGATGCATGTAATGTATAATATTACTATTAGGTAATACGCCCAATTTGTACGTGGCATGGCACGCGTAGTGTATTGATGTGTACACGAGTATAGTTTACCTTTGCTGATAATTTCTTGAATTACAGATACAAGTTAAGTTCTACGGCATTAAACTGAATTTCAAGTGTTTCCCGTGGCCGTATTTGATGCATAATTTATCAATATTATTATCATGAAGATTGAAGTGAGCTGATTGGAGCTTATACTTAAATTTATAGTAAATGTGAAATGGAAATCTAGCGTCCGCCAAAACGAAACAACGGGCGCAATTCTTGTTTACAGAAGGGCCTTGATATTATATGAAAGTAACATCATTTCATGTATTTTTCGATTGTCTATGCTGATTCCGAAACGTTTAGGGTTAAGGGGGGGGGGGGGGGGGGGGCCAATGGATATTTTTTTGTGAAACTTGATTTCGAGATAGTAGTTGACCAACAAACTAAGACCAGTGACCGAACTTTTGAGGGGGTCCCGGACCCCAACCGCCAAACGGTGCGCGCAGGGCAGCCACGCCCATATTTGGCCCAATTTAGCCAAATACCCTGAACATGCCCAAAACCAAGGTTTATGGTGCTCTACTTGTAGCTAGTGGTCTCTTGAACTCGTATATGAAATTTCATCAAGATTGGACGAAAAATGACTGAGTTATGAGCCAAAAACCATATGCCCATATTTGGGCATACGCACCAAATTTGGTAGATTTCGGCCCATAAATTGGTCAAATATCAATATTTTTGAATGAAACTTACTTTATATGAAAGGTAAGCCTAAACTACATATTATCTGTAAGTTATAGCTTTATATCTGTTTAAATGTGGATACTAAGGCGAAAAAACCACAAAAAATGAACTAAATTGCCCATATCTCGGTTCGCGATATTTGCGGAATTGATCTCATTAAAATTGTAACAACTCAATCAGTTTTCAAAATTTTTGCATGAAATTTTCGGAATCGACTCGAAATTGCATTTCCACCTTATTTTAAATACGGATTTTTGATTTAGGCCTCCAAAAAAATTTGGCGGCCAAATTCCAAAATTATCTCACAAAAATTCAGAATTTGGCCGCCAAATTTTTCTGGAGGCCTAAATCAAAAATCCGTATTTAAAATAAGGTGGAAATGCGATTTCGAGTCGATTCCGAAAATTTCATGCAAAAATTTTGAAAACTGATTGAGTTGTTACAATTTTAATGAGATCAATTCCGCAAATATCGCGAACCGAGATATGGGCAATTTAGTTCATTTTTTGTGGTTTTTTCGCCTTAGTATCCACATTTAAACAGATATAAAGCTATAACTTACAGATAATATGTAGTTTAGGCTTACCTTTCATATAAAGTAAGTTTCATTCAAAAATATTGATATTTGACCAATTTATGGGCCGAAATCTACCAAATTTGGTGCGTATGCCCAAATATGGGCATATGGTTTTTGGCTCATAACTCAGTCATTTTTTGTCCAATCTTGATGAAATTTCATATACGAGTTCAGGAGACCACTAGCTACAAGTAGAGCACCATAAACCTTGGTTTTGGGCATGTTCAGGGTATTTGGCTAAATTGGGCCTAATTTGGACCAAATATGGGCGTGGCTGCCATGCGCGCACCGTTTGGCGGTTGGGGTCCGGGACCCCCTCAAAATTTCGGTCACTGGTTTAAGTTTGTTGGTCAATTGCTATCTCGAAATCAAGTTTCACAAAAAAATACCCATTGGCCCCCCCCCCCCCCCCCCCCCCCCCCCCCCCCCCTTAAACATTAAACGCTTTTCTGGGGAGTTATGAACAAAATATAAATATTTTGGACGCTGATTTCAAATCACCTCCTTAGCATGTAAATATACAATATGACTAAATAGGGTGATTTATTTATTTTTTCCTTTTCACCCTTTTGAAAAAAGGCAATAGTGAAAGGTTACGAATGGAGGTTTTTGCAGAAAAACGTGGATTTTGGAAATAGCGGTAGGTGGGTCAAATATATGTCGTGTTCCTTACTTGCTTCCGTTCGTTTCCATGTCAACTTGCCGCGCGCACGCGCACGGGGATTGCTTGCGGAGATGTGGTGTATAGCTAGTATGTGGTCAATGAATGCGCGGCACTGGCGTATTTTAATGTATACTAGTAATGTATAGTATTTTGTAATAAGCCCAACTTGAATGTGGCACGCGTAGTCTACTGATGTTTCAATATGATTATTATAAGGTGAGCTGATTAGAGCTTATATTAATAGTTATAGTGAAATGGAAATCTAGCGTCCGCCAAAACGAAACAACGGGCGCAATTCTTGTTTATTTAGTGGATACTGGCTAGTGTTATGATCAGAGTTATACTTATAAGGGTTCGGCTGCAAAACTGCATGTTAGTTATATTAGCGAATTAGTAAAAGCCGTTCCAACCAATGTCATTGAGGTTGATATAATAATGTTGGAACTTGGGATGTAAGGTTCTTTTGGCTCAGAAAGTTAAAGATGCAGTGTTACCTGGGGACCCCAGGCAATCATGTTCATAAACATTCCGCCGAATAGATATTCGGCGGAATGACAGGCTGAGCGCCGCCCAATAAAATATGGTGGAATTAAAACAATTTTTCTATTGTCATTGACCATTGTTAAATGTTAATACAGAACATATTATAATTTATCAAATATATTATAATTTATAACAAGCAGAACACCATTATTAATGTTACACACCTATAATTACGAGACAAACGTTGACAGTTAAAAAAAGAAACAAACTTATATAAGCGTGTTTAATACTTTAATTATAGCCACGTACCTGTAATGAAAAATAAATTTCTCTGACTGAAGAAGTTTGTAAATTTGTCATGCAATATTATATAATATAATAGCTTTTAAAAACGTGTAGTCTAATAAATTTGTTGCTTATTTTAAATAAAATTATGTAATCTTATCAATATATTATGAGCAATGAGCCATATATATACACCGATCTAACTGCGTATAATGCGATTACAATATTAATTGCACGAGGCGCAGCCGAGTGCAAATTGATACAATAAAAAGAAAAAATGTTAATTACTTCATACTTTCATACTACCCAATGTACTGACTCTTCATCAGTCAGAATGAGAGTCAGTACATTGGGTAACTTTACAAATGACATACTGATACTGTAACTATTGATTCGAAGATATAATATACTTGAATATTTGGGGATGAATACTTTTTGATGCGATTAAAACTTACTATAAAAGGATACATACAACATAAATATCACAATACACAACCGACCTTCAAAATCTTATGTCTCATATTCGTGATGCTGCCAATGTTTCCATCGGCCCAAAACCTAAAGCTCGCTTGAAACATCACAGCAGTGATGACACTCTCAAAGAGCTTGTTGAAAAGCGTCACGATCTCCGACAGCTACTTAACAATAATCAATCTCTTGATCGAACTACATTGAGGTCATCCATCAACCACCTCACTAATAGTATCCAGAAAAGATTAGTTGAAGTGAGGTCTGCTCAAGCTGATCAGACCTATAGTGATATTACTAACACAAACGATTCTAGGAAAATGTTTGAAGCAGTAAGACATCTTCAGAAAAGTAAACCACCTAATAACTCGATTGGTGTTCATGATGAAAATGGCTGTTTGATTGCATCTGACGACATGAAAGCTTCTGTTGTTAAAGACTATCTCGAAAAACAGCTGACTCGCAATGAGCAACCTCTCGAGCCTTTTGAGGGTCTACCACGTGCTCTCAATGTCCCTTTTACTGGAATTGAAATACATGCAGCCACCTCTAGCTTGAAAAATGGGAGGGCAAATGGTCCCGATGGAATACCCAACGAGCTAATTAAGTACTCTAATAGTACAGTCCATGAACATTATGCTGGAATCATAAACAGTTGTTTCGAGACACATACTTTCCCCATTTCCATTGGAGAGGCTACTATAACACCCTTACAAAAGCCAAAAAAACCTATTGGTCCTCTGAAGAATTTACGTCCACTCACCTTGTCCAATGCAGCCAGAAAAATTCTGTCTATGGCTACTCTTAAAAGGATAGAAGAAAAAGTGAACGCTTTCACTGGTCCATGGCAGTGTGCATATAAACGCGCTCGTTCTTGTGCTGATATTGGCATGCTGTTCAAAAACAACCCCCGACATGGAATAAAATCTACTGTACCAGCACTGAACAACAAATCACAGCGTTCTGTGGCAACTCACTATGAAAACTCGTTTGGAGTGAAAGCGGCACAGCTGTGGAATCTTCTCCCCAAAGAAATTAATTCCATCTCTACTTTGGACCTGTTAAAATCGTCACTGGCTAAATTCCTTAAAGAATTCCCCGACACACCTCCGACTAAAGGATACACCGCTACTAACAACAACTCACTCTTGGAATGGTACTTACAAAAAGACCCCTGTGGAGTGATAGGAGGACGTACTTGATACTGTTGTCCTGAAGCGATCCCAGCCAAACCTACTCAAAGTACTCAAAGTAAGTATATTGTTTGGTGTCAACGAGTTCTACTGTCAGTTGTCCAAAGAAAGAAATGGGAGTATCATCGCATGGGCATTGATATGTCTAGTGCGTTTGACACGATCAAACGTACTACGATTCTTGAACTCCTGAAACTGTGTGGCTGTACTGAGGATGAGCTGAGGATTGTCCGGTTGTTGTTGTCCAACACAAAGCTACGGGTGAAGGTAAATGGAGTTCTTTCAGCTGAGTTTTTAAGTCTCCTTGGAGCTTTCCAAGGTGACTGTCTATCCGGCTGTCTGTTCACCCTTGTCTTGGCTGGTGCTTTGAATGAACTTAGATGGACTATAACAATCAGTTTAGATAGGCCGATCCCCCCGATTACTATTGCTGGCCTTCCACTTGACACTGAATATGCTGATGATGTTGACTTCAATGATGAAGAGGAAGACAACTTGAGAGTTATTTTGCCCCAGGCAACAGCTATACTCGAGAAATGGAACCTCTTTGTCAATGAAGACAAAACGGACTTCACTCATGTTTATTTAGCTAGTACGGGTGAAGTCGACAGTGATGGAAAATTAGTGTCGGGGAATGAAGCATGGAGGAAAAGTATCACTCTAGGGTCCGTCTTGTGTAGCAAAGCTGATATTCAGCGTCGCATAAACCTGGGATATGCTGCCTTTAACAATTACAAGAAGGCCTGGAGTGATAAACTGCCCCTAAACAAACGTCTAATACTGTATAATGCTTTAGTCGTATCGGTTCTTATGTACAACTCATCCTGTTGGGCCGTCCCCAAAATATTCCTTGAAAAACTAGATGTTGTTCACCGCAGACATCTTCGCACTATTTTGAATATAAAGTACCCAGGAGTCATCTCCAACAAAAACTTGTATAAACGCTGCAATGCTGAACCATTGTCAGAAAAAGTGGCCCGTAGTCGGTGGAGAATGTTAGGACATGTTTTGCGGGGTCCTATTGACGGACCAGCGTTTTCTTCCCTCATTTTTGCCATCAATACACTGGACTTACCAGGGAGAAGAGGAAGACCCCAAAGCAATCTATTCTCGCTGATTGTGCATGATTTATGTAAAAGAAATCTTTATTTGAATAATATCTTTGACCTGCATTATCTCCGTAATTTGAGTTATGACAAGAGATATTGGCGGAATTTGCAATGAAGTTTTTAATTTTTTCCTTTTCACCCTTTTGAAAAAAGGCAATAGTGAAAGGTTACGAATGGAGGTTTTTGCAGAAAAACGTGGATTTTGGAGATAGCAGTATAGGGTCTGAATATGATGTCATTCCGTCCGTTACCATGCAACGAAAAAGTTGCGCGCGCGCGAGGATTGCTTGCGGAGATGTGATGTATAGATAGCCTGTGATCTATGAATGCGCGGCGCGACTGTGTTTTAATGTATATGATGCATGTAATATATAATATTACTATTAGGTAATACGCCCAATTTGTACGTGGCACGCATAGTGTATTGATGTGTACACGAGTATAGTTTACCTTTGCTGATAATTTCTTGAATTACAGATACAAGTTAAGTTCTACGGCAATTGAACTGAATTTCAAGTGTTTCCCGTATTTGATGCATAATTTATCAATATTATTATCATGAAGATTGAAGTGAGCTGATTGGAGCTTATGCTTAAATTTATAGTAAATGTGAAATGGAAATCTAGCGTCCGCCAAAACAAAACAACGGGCGCAATTCTTGTTAGTTTTGTTTTAGGGAAAGATTAGACTTGGGCGTTGTTTTTTAACTATCCCTTTGCCCTTGTTTAGAACTTTGATTTAATAAAAGGATACTATTACATTCCTCCCTGTGACCACGGGCTTTCTAGTCTTAATTATAATTCAATGAATTATTCTGTCTGTCTGTCTGTATGTACGACTGCCCACGTGCAAATAAGATAAGAAATAGGAAGTTGCATAATGCATAGTAACCATGGTAACGAGGATTGTTACACGCACGTGCACGTGCAAATATTTGCGAGCGCCATTTTGATCGGTTTTGTAGTAATTACGTTATGTTAAGAGTGTCGATTACATCGGTTGTATCTTCGGATGTGCGACGGATATTTTTTGATGCGATTACATTCTTCTTTCAAAGAAAACTACTAGCTTCCTCTCAATTAGTATTACCACGGGCTTTCTAGTCTTACTTATAATTCAAAGAATTATTCTGTCTGTCTGTCTGTCTGTATGTATGTACGACCGCCCACGTGCAAATTTGATGAGAAATAGGAAGCTGCATAATAACCATGGTAACGGTGCGCAAAAGCGCTCGGCACGTGCAAAGATTTGCAAGTGACATTTTGATCGCGGTTTTGACGTAATTGCGTTATGTGGAGTGTGTTTTACATATTAAGATATTATCGGCTGTATCATCGGTTGTGATGAATATTTTTTGATACGATAAAAACTTACTACCAAAGGCAAAGAATAATATTAGCTTCCTCCCTGTGACCACGGGCTTTCTAGTCTGTGTGTCTGTATGTATGTACGACCGCCCACGTGCAAATTAGATGAGAAATAGGAAGCTGGATAGTAAGTAGTAACCATGGTAACGAGGGTTGTTACACGCACGTACGTGCACGTGCAAAGATTGTTAGAAAGGCATTTTTATCGGTTTTTTGATATAATTACGTTGTGTTTAACGTGTTTTACGTTTAATTCGGCTGTATCTTCGGTTGTGATGGATATTTTTGATAAAAACTGACTACCAACTTACCAAAGATAAATAAAAATAATATTACCTTCCTCCCTGTGACCACGGGCTTTCTAGTCTCACTTATAATTCAATGAATTATTCTGTCTGTATGTATGTCTGTACGACCGCCCACGTGCAAATTAGGTAAAAAGCAAAAGGTTGCATAGCAACCATGGTAACGAGGGTTGTTACACGCACGTGCACGTGCAAAACTTTGAGAGGGGCACTTTGATCGGTTTTGTGGTAATTACGTTGTGTTTAAAGTGTAAGTGCTCAGCCTGTCATTCCGCCGAATCTCTATTATGAACATGATAGCCTGAGGTCCCCTGCAGGTAATAAAACCATAAAAACCAAAGTCACGTGATCAGTGATAATTTTGGGCGAGCAAGTTAGTAAGAGCCATATAAGTCGTTCGTTTTTGGTGGAGTATTATCAGTCGTCATCATCAACAACAACAACACCAACTATTTTGTATCAAGTCGTGACCCCCATTATCGTCTCACTAAGTGAAAAGTTTCTACGATACAGGGCGTGGGAGCCGTGCACTCGTGCGCGGCGGGTCATACAACGTCAAACGTATGACAACAATTGCAAATTGCTACACGTTGCACACTTCTCGTGCACGCGAAGCGTGCACGCCGGCCGCGCGCGCGATCAAAAGGGGTTGCAGCGTGTGTCAAGACTGAAGACAACAACTATTCCAATTCCTGACTACAGACTACTCTTCTGTCTACTAGACGAAATTAATGGACCCACGGCCTCTCCAGAGAATGCTCGAGACTTCCTATTCCAGAAAAACTTCCTATTCCTAATGACGTGAAACCTGCTTGATTCAGTGTCATATCAAATCATATCAAGGGGTTCACATCATCGCAAGCAAGTCTGTGTACTGTTATTAATGCAGTAATAACTCATGTACTGTCATAAGTTGTTCACGAACACCTGTTCGCGAACAGGGGTCAGGCTATTTGGATACTGCCAAATATGCCTGTTGAACTAAGTTACTTTCGGTGAGTCTTAATGCCTGAAACAGTAAAGGTAGGTAGTGCGCCATCGACAGTGAGCCGCGCGTGCCGACTGTGGGATGGTTTTTTAGCGCTAATTTCGGCCAGCACAATTTTCTTCAAACAAATAGATATTAAGTATTCTTCCCGACCTCTGATTGCAACAAAAATTGGTAAGATTACTCATAGACTTACAAGAAATGTGTCCGAAAAGTTTAAAGCATATCCAACCATCAAACATTATGTTACAGCTAAAAGCAGTGTATTTTGCCCTATTTTGATCACTATATCAACTCCGATATCCACCAAATTTTTCGGACAGTTGTAAAAGCCCTATTGGAAGATTGTCACCAATTTTCAGAATGATCTCATTCAAGGAACTGAAGATATATCCAAATAATACGACAAAAATCAACGAATTTTGTCAAATTTGGTCAAATTACGCGACTTTTACATTTTACAGCTAATTTTGCTCCAAAAGCCGCGCACCATCAAATATGGCACCTAGGCAAAACTCACTGATCTTTCCAAAAAGGTATGACAAATTTGGTATTGTGAAAATTCTCACAGTCTCTAGAAAACAATGGTACAAAAATTTTTAAAATCCGAGCAAGTTTATTTTTATGGTGCACCTCCTAGTAAAGGGAGTATAATAGTAAAGTATAGGGTGTGGCTCTTACTAATTCGCTCACCCAAAAATTTCACGTGACTTTGGTTTTTATGGTTTTGCAGCCGTACAAAACGGTTTTACATAGACCCTAATACCAACCCTAACCCTTTAACCATAACCCCGAAGCTAACCATAACCCTTACGTACCACAACCCTAACCCTAACCCGGGCCCTAAACAATCGAATTGATCGTATTTTACTAGCCTGTCACGTGACCAAAACGGTTTTTTGCCCATAACTCTCCAGGGAAGCATTTTAACCCTACGTCATGGGGGGGCCGGGGTGATTCGGAATCAGCGTCCAAAAATACATCGATCTAGATCGTTTTCATGCCCAAACACCAAAGGGCCTTTTTACAAGAATTTTCTTAAAATTTGGGCGAGCGATTTAGTAGGAGCGATAGGGGGTACATAGTATGGTGAGTATAATATAATTGGGTGGCGGTCGTGCGGTCGTGCTTTCCAGCATTGTGATGTATAGACGCTTTGGTAGTCAATTGTAGCCTACATTCAAGTGTCCGTAGATTCAAAAGCTTTAACCATTGACGATATAATACAGCCATTTCGGACCACAGGTATTAAAGGTAATTGTTTAGATGTTAGACTTTATGCTTTAGTTAACATTATGTTAAAAAATAATTCAAAGTCATCATCACCACTTCACACTTGATGACGTCATCAAGTTAATTGTTAAAAACTTGTCATATATACGTTGTATGAACATTGACCCGCCGCGCACGAATGCGCGGCTCCCCTTGTAGGTTATATATGGAACAGATATTATACGAGTATCACCCGTTAATGGTTAAGACTCCCCATGTATTGCATATTGTAAGAACAATAGTGAAGCGACAGTGGGGGTCACCACGTGATACAAAGTCACGACGTGATACAATTAAAAACTTGATTTTTGACAAAGTAGTAACTTTTCAAATTGATTTTACACCTTTAAGAAGTGATTTTATTCAAAATTTGAGCATTGAGGACATATTTGATATTGTTGTTAAATAATTGTTCAAGCATTCTGAAAATTTACCGAAAAGTGTTTTTATTTTGCTTCTTCATAAAATTATTTACTGGGCCGCGCTCAGCCTGTCATTCCGCCTAATCTATGTTTATGAACATAATAGCCTGATATGAGGTCCCCAGGTAAAAATTATTCGCCATTGAATTTAGTGCTTTTTTGAAGAATAATTTTATAAAAACACTCATTTTGTGACATGATTCAGTATTCTCTGGTGTTGGGTTGTCCATTGTTAATGGACTAGTCTGTTATAGTCCGGCGTGCACTACTTCGTAGCACTTGCCTACCTCGGGCACATTTCGAGAAGAAAGCGGCGCGCGCTACTTCGAAGAAATTTAGACGTTATGTAAACTCATAACTTCATTAATAATATCAGGAAAAGAATTATTCAACGTTTTAATGTGACAACATCTTGACGGGTGATACTCGTAAAATATTTGTTTTGAATATTAATTATTTAAAGACCGTCGACGGAAATTAATTATTTAAAGACCGTCGACATGCATGAGATCAGAGATGACCGACCGCCGCTTTCTTCTCGAAGGCAAGTGCTACGAAGTTGGAAGTAGCGCGCGCCGGGCTTGTCCATTAACAATCAAGATACCAAAGAATAAAAAGTCCAAAGATGCCCCGGTTGCATGGAACTCTCTTCCACTGATGTTGAGATGTATTACTGATACCAACTGTTTCAATGTGCAAGCGAATGTTAAAGAACCATTTATCATTTATATAATTTATATTATCAGTTTTGATGTTTTTTCTTTCCATTTGTCTTCACTTTGAAAGACTCGAAACTACCATAACACAACACATGTTACGCCGATACAGGAAAACTGCATAATTGATAATTTTACGAACTTCGTATATTTGAATTTTGAAATAAGTTATACAAAATGTTGCAACAAATAAAAACTAATCAAACAGATTGCACCGACACGAGAATAGAAAATCAGAGCTATCTCATAAAAATAATTGTCCTCCAATTTGAAGATCGAATTCACACAAGAACAAGCTCAAATAACTAAAAAATCATAAGTTTGACGAAAATGCTTTGGCAGCAAGTCTTAATAGAAATAGAATTGGTCCCGTTAATTTCCAAAAAGTATAATCACCCCTACTTTTAATGTCTTTGTAAAAAACCAATCGTTTGTATGTAACAACTTTGGACTTATTTACCCAAAGTAAAAGTTAACGTCTCTTTTGTTATGGGTACAACTTGTTAACAATTTGACCACATATGATGATTAACGATAGCGTGGCTTCAGAAGGAGCAATATATCACGTGGTCACATAATAGTGATACAGCCCGGATCCACATTAGTGAAAACCTGACCAACTTCTTTTAACCTGACTAACTTGCTCTTTATTAAAGCTCTATAAGTTAGAGCCTTATTATATTTGAAGTCAGCGCCTTCAGATCATAAGTATTATTACTGAATGAAAATTAAAGTTATTAAAAATTCGTATAAATTAGCCGCAGATTTAAACAATTTTTATAAACTATCGATATAATTTAATAAAAGTGGTTGCTAAGCTGATCGTATAATAAACTTAACTCAGTACAAAGTTTCATGTTCGTTTATATATTCGACTGTTTAGTTCCTAATTCGGCCATGGTCGCACGACGCATTCTTTCAAAGTAACTGCCACTCGGCTGGTGGGATCACGGACCAGTGACGTCATATCACGTGATGTGACGTCATATCACGTGATATTACGTCATATCACGTGATATTACGTCATATCACGTGATATTACGTCATATCACGTGACTTAACTTCAGTTTGTGTATTATAGTTTGGAATAACAGAACAAATCAGATCACGTGACGCTGAATAGTTTTAGGAAGTGCTCCAGTTCATCTCTGCAGTGGTCGTTTAGAATCCTGAAATGATAACTTAAATAGAACATAAGATTATTTCAGTGCAATGTTGTTTCACTGAGACAATTATACTTCGAACGAAGTATAATTGGTTTTTATTAGGCGCAATTTGTGTACGTTTAATTTTTATCCCAAGTGAAAATCACAATATCCCCGAACTATGAGGTGAAATAGTAAAGATAAAGGAGGGAAAGTTTGCTAGACAACAGTAAAATACTGATTACTTCTGTCAATAATAGCAATTAATGACATGATTAAGATCACGTGAACACTTTTACTGATAACAGATTTCTCTTTGGATTTCGGATTTGTTAGTACGCTAATCTGACATTATCTACATTGTAATATATATATCTATTTTAGTTGTTGTACCATTTCGTGATCATATCATATCACGGTACGTGATCATATCATATCACGTGATCATATCATATCACGTGATCATATCATATCACGTGATCATATCATATCACGTGATCATATCATATCACGTGATGGACACTAACCTCTTGCTAGTAGCAGAATCATACACGTCTTTACTTCTGGACAGTTCGGCAGAAAGAGTGGCAATTTGTGTCTTGAGTACGTTAATACCTCCGTTAATAGATGTTAATAGGCGTGATAGAGTGGAGCTGAGATCTCTGGCGGGGATAAAAATTATTGTAGTTAGATAAGAAGGGTAGGAAATCATTTTAGTTAGATATAATACTCAACCTTTATTTCACTAACTTTCAGTCAACCTACCTATGAAACTATTTTAAAGTAATTATAAATCCCAGCTCAGGTGGAATCATCTAAACTTATAAAAGTATATCTACATATATAGATATATATATATGTATATTTATATCTATATTTATATATAGATATAAGAAGTAGCTTCTAACTGACTGACCGTTGCACTTGAGTGCTGCAGCAATTTCCAGTGTAAGTCACAATGTCGTGTAACTTAATTGAGGCATAGTCACAGAACTGAAAAAGGGTGTTTATTTTGAAGGAATATTGACTAGCAACTAGGATGTTACTTGAGTCCTGATGTTAATACCGGAAAATAATAAGTTAGAAAATCATAAATTAGAAATATCATATAGTGCCGTTTATCCAACTAATAGTGCAATCACAAACCTGTTGTTTGAATTTCCGCTCCATGGCTCGTTCGGTATACTTTAAGCGCTCGTATCCGTACAGACCCACATACACCCCACCAGTAGCAGCTATCACTCTCCACCCTACAAGGTTATACACCTGAAGGAGAGAGTGGTGTGAGAAACTTGTGGGAAATTACGCGTTTTTAAACAATTGAAGCTCTCAAAAAAGTACAAAACACAAGAAAAAGAAACACAACTCACTCCAGCGATGACGGCAGTAGCAGTGAAAGCAGTCTTAGTGTTGAAAGCAGGTAAGAGCTGAGTAGCCAACACCAGCAGCACGTTATCATCTCCAGTTACTGAGGTTGTGTGTCTTGCTACTGACGCTTCTGGGGACCGTACTCTCTGGGTCACCTGACTTCGTGCTGCTGGGGTTGTTGGTATTTAATACTAATCTTAAGTAGAATTAGGAGATTATCAATGGCATTGTTGAGATGTTATATGATTAATTCAACTCTTACAATTATTATCGTTGATTATCTGTTTTCGTGTTTTTTATACTCACGATTAGGGGTAGGTTGAGGAGATGAGGATTCCCCTAAAGTTTGCAGAAACAAAGAATATCGCGGTCCAAGGAAACGGCGTGCCATTGCAGTGGGACCAAACGAAAACTGGAAAGTTAGCTGACTTTGAAAACCCATGAACAAGGATTGACAGTCTATTTGGTATATCGGCTCAAATGAACTGAAATGTTTAGATGATTAGAAAACGAGAAAGCTTGAGCGAGAAACTGGTTCTGAGGATGGGAATTTTAGTAATATTTACGCTCATCAAATTTACCCAGCGAATATACCAACCTTTGCATTTCGATTGCAGGTTGAGAAGGACCAATCGCTGCACTTTGCTGAACATCCATAAGTTGCTGTATCCTTCCTACAAAGTCTACCGTCAGTTATTTTCTCTTGCTTGTTTAAAAGCTATGAGCACAAAATAGACAACTACTACTCTAGTATGTTCAGTACCGCCCATCTAAATTGTGATGACAGAGTTTAGCTTGGCCCTCACGTAAAATTGATCTAGAACCTTCGTTTTGGAGTTCGAGCCAGAAAAGCTCATAAATAGAGCAGAAGTATAGATTTAATATTTAATTGCGTGCTTGAATTTTTGTTGAGACAAATAACTGTGGCCAGGGATTGCATCAAGTTATACTGTTACAACCTACAGAGTAATACTTATATAACGGAGGATATTTTTATCGTAGGCTAGATGGTTCGAGCATGCAGCGCGGAACCAAATTCATATCTCACACCATTGACACCATGCCACTCACGTGCGCGCGTGTTCTGAATGCGGCGCGCGTAGAGCAGACGGTTGTGAAGACGCTCACGACTTTTAAATATGATCGCGCGATACGTTTTAGTTCTATAAATATGGTAATTGCCACAATTTTGTCACAAGTTGGTTGCAAAGCAATGGATAGACTACTAATTGTCTGCCATAACTAATGAGACAGGATATGATTAACATGATTAGATATACGTACAACTCACCACACATTTCGTTCTTCATCTCTTCGTACACTTTTGATATCCTGTTATGACATCGATCCATCAGATTTCTTCCTAAGTGTTCTTCCAGATGATTTTCTAATTCCTGAAATTAACCGAGAATGTTAGAAGACTAATTGTGTTCTGACAAATGACAAAATCAATTAGCTGTAAAGTTACAGAAACAGCTTTTGGGTGTAGCTTTTGGGTACATTTATATTATGTTTCAAAACACCGATTTCATAGACGGAGTCTCGCCAATCGGTTGAGATAATAAAAACATCGGATCAAAAAACTGCTCGAAGAAAGCTGTATTTCATTTCTTACTGCTTTATATTTGTTGATGAAATCTTTCTGAAAGGGGTACGAGAAGGAATCAACAGTGTTAGACAGCCTAAGTATCTCCTCTCTCAACGCATCCGACACTGATAATTTAAATAAAGTTTACCGAAAACAAAATACCACAAATGTTTGGACGAAAAGAAAGTTCTGTTATAAATCGCATATTCTAAATATTCTAAATATTCAGGATATAAATTATAAATTAATTTCACAACTACAAGTAATTACATTTGTTGAGGCTATGAAGTCGGAGCCAGTTAACCTTTAGTTAATATACAATGTATACTATGTAATGTACTAAAATAAGGCGTAGAGTCAGCCAAAATATCGACTAATATCGACTGGTCGAGTCGATATTATTCGCCTCAAGTCGCCATGGGCCTGACCGACCTCGCTTCGCTTTGCTTGGCCAAGTGCTCCCCCTTTCCAAAAAGGTGGATACCGGTTAATGTCGACCAATGTCGACTAATATCGACCGGTCGATATAAGTCGCCTCAAGTTGCCCATGGGCCTCAAAGATAAGTTCTAGAATAATCTACTGATTGAATAGTTATAAAATAAACCAAATAATGTCCTACCTAACTCTTCTACGTTAGATCCGACACTCTCAATCTTCTTTTTAAAGTAATGTTTGATTGCTTCACTTTCCTTCAAGACGAAGTCTAGCTGTTGCTCTTTTCTTTTTCTCTCCTCCTCACATTTCTTCCTGTTGTATTGTGAATAGTTAGCAATCCTATTTGAAAATTCTTCACATATTACAGCATGACCTATAATCTAGTGATTTCCTTTTTTTCCTGATAATCAGCGATCAAACAGCATCATACTATTTGGCTGATATCGTACTTCAGAAACTCCAATATTATAAAATGAACTTTTAAAAAGGCGCCCAAAAACCTGTAATTAAAAGATAGTTCCTCCATTTTCTTGAGAGATTCGTTCAAGCTGTTAGCAATGTCACGGCCTCTCAGTCCATGAGAATGGAACTTTGTGTTTATAGCCGATGCTGATAAACAATTCTGAAATATGGTTTATAAACTTCATATACAGGTGATTATACAATATACATGGGTTTATGTATAACACATTACAACGGTGTCCTTCCAGCAGCTCCAACGTAATATCTCTTCCAAACCAACTCACCATGACACGTAACCTCATCAAAAGCAAATATTTAAGATAACATGCCATAAAAACATTCTGATAACATATCTCGAACAGGGCAGTTATTTCGCTTAGTTTGCTACACGTAAATTCTCTAGTATTATAATTCAAAGTTTTCTTTGTGCGTATATGACCGCCCACGTACAAGTTAGGTAAAATTAGAACTTTGCTTAGTAACGAGGGTGTAAACGGAATGATCGGTTTTTGTGATTACGTTGTGTTTAGAATGTTTTACATAAGAATGTTATGTCTCTGTGACCATGGGATTTCTAGTATATAATAATAACGACAAGACAATTACCGACAAACCAAGCCGCAGTGTTAAAAATTGTATTTCCAGAAAAGAAGTTTCTCTATCATTTTATGAGGAAGAAGAAGGCCAGTTTTCTGTTAAAACAACAGAACTGTTTCCCCTCATCTGGTCTGTAATTATTTCCTGTTAAATCTTCGATATTGGAAAAAACCAACTCTTCCCAACTCTTTTATGAAAAGGGCAATTCCACCGTGACGGACACCACGATTATGCCATTTTTTAAAGTTCAAACGAATGTTGTGCTCAGGATGTTGCTTCTTTATCAGCTTAAACTATTTATTAGTCCACATTTAACCTTTCTATAGGTTGTGTGAAAATTTCAGACCCCTACTATTATTACTTTCTGAGATAGCACCCCTGTGACGGACGCGACTTAAATATGACACTTTTTTTGGGTGTCTACTCAGAAGGTACCCAAATCTATCTCAAAACGTTATCTATTATCTCTAATTTGGACATGCAGTGATAGAAAAAGGTTTAGGGATTTCTGAGATACCATTTTTTTGGAGATTGCTCAGTTTTTGTTTGCGTGGCGCCATTTTCAAATTGTGACGGACGTGACTGTGACGGACACACGTTTTTTTTCAATTTCTCCAAATCTTCTATTTGACACTTTTATCTTGTTCAGTGACCTTCATTCTATATTTATGCCAATTTTTAGGCCGCTAGTACTTCCATGAGGTCTGCAATAGCCAAAATCGTCCATTTTGGGCATACGCGAGGGTATCAATCAAGGGGCAGCAATTATTTCTCTACTTGAACAAATTTATAACTCTGGTAAAACATTCATCTATGTTCAACACATCACACTGTTGAGACCATCTCCCAAAAGTTTCATTACTTTAGTGTTTAAAATGTGGAAGATATTGAATTTTTACTTCAAAAATATGCGAAAATAGGGTAAAGTCCATTTTTTGTGCCTTTTACCCCTGAAAAAGGTCAAGGCAAATAAAATGGCAAAACTCAGTAAATTTAATTATTGAATTGCATATGATGTTATTTGATAGTCTAGTCAACATAGTCAAACCTTGTTTGACTTCAATTTGTCTTGGTTTTAGTCAAAATAATGGAAATATGGATAAAAATGGCTAAAAGTGAGCCGTACGCCCATATATGGGCATATACAAAATTATACATAACTCAGTCATTTTCTGTCCAATTTTCGATTTGACAACATCGTTTTGTTTAGAACGGTCTCAGCTTTAACAAAAATGCATTTAAAGTCTGTTAAAAGATTTTTTGGAGCATTTTCAAAAAAATGTGACAGACGCGACAAGTTGGGACCCCCCTTCCAAAATTTTTTTCTTAAAAGATACAAGCCTGATAATTTCTACGGTACTCCCTTACCTTCAGAAGAGATAGGTTACAGTGGTTTTTTAAATATAAATAGCACTATGTGGCTCTGAAAAAACTTTTTTGCTTAATTTTGTGACGGACGCGACACCATCTTTGTGGACATTTTTTAGAAAAAGTATTTGAGTAACGGTTTTGAAACTTTCCATGGCTCTCATTCTTATGCCTATGCTTAAGTGTATGGAATTTCATAGAGAAATATTGCTGCATACCCAAACTATGGCCCTTTGAAAATTTGAATGATTTTTTTCATTTCCGAGTAGTGTTCCTTTGAATGAGAAAAATCAAAAGTTAATGCAATATGAAACAAAAAACTTTTGTTGACCTGTAAGGTTAAGAGTCTAATGAACATATTTGAACCAAAATTAGGTGCCTATCTTAACATTTTTCATTTTCACCAAGTGGAACCTTACCGTGGAATTGCCCAAAAGAGCTATTGTTGCTTGATCCGTGTTTCTGTTTTAAACAAAAACGCAAACATGCAAAATCTACAGCAGGAACTTCCTTTTTCCTGTTTATTCGACATGTTTTTATAAGTAAGAATAAGTTCATAAGCGTTTTATAAGCTCAAAATAAATATAAATACATCCGCAGAAAGATAATTATTATATTAGTTGAGCATTTTGCAATTTTGGAAACACTCACATTTGTACGTGGGTATTTGTTGTGCGTGCAGAAAGAAACCTTTGTATCATAATCATAATATTATAATAGATAAGAGATATGCTTAGTCTTTGTTCCCTTATCCTTTGTTACAAATATGTCTTCGTTATGTATATTATTTTATAATTAGACGCAACTACCCATATGGTAGAGTTCCTCAGAATTCCATTCTTTGAAGTAGAAGAATGGTAGAGTTCCTCAGAATTCCATTCTTTGCAGTAGAAGAATGGAAGATTGAAAATTTGACAATCGCAGTGATAGTAAAATGGTATGCGAGATAACTGAGATATTGTTTCTGTTTGATGAGACTAGTTCTTCTGTTGTACTGTATAGCTTTGTGCTCTGCCCATGCTATGATATCATCAATTTTTGAGTTAAAATTGCAATCATTTTACTGACATTTTTGAGATTTGACTGTTTCACTCCCTCCAGAATATTTTTTCATCAACTTCTTTTTTTTTCTAAAAAAGTATAAGATGGTTAGAAGTGGTAGGAATTGAGAATGGGTATAGTAGCTTAGGTAGGTTGTTCGTGGTGTCACAACGTAAAACATGTGCTGCATTTAACAGTGTTTTTATGTTAAGGTTGTGTACTCCACTATATCCACTAGCGGACTCTTTTTACTACAGCGGGCCCGCTAGAAAAAGGGCCCGATATTTCTCAGCCTGCTGAATGCTGATGATACAGCCCGCGAGCAAATGACATGTTTCAGCCCGCCGGGCTATATGACATAATATAGCCCGCAAGAACGAGATACAATCTGGCAACATGTAGCTAATAGATGCAGATGAAGGTCACATTTTGCGGCTTGAAAGTTAAAACTAATAGTTAATGAACTAAAAAACAGTTTGCACGTGCACCATATTTATGATGATTGATACACAGTGGCTACAGCAGTATCCCCATATTATTCCACACTACACTTCCCACGGCAATAGTGATACAAAGAATGTATCAGCTCACCTCCTATCCTATTTCTATATAAATTGCTGAATTGCTCACTATTTCAGTTGATAAACCTTGAAATTTTAGGCCGAAATTTTACGTGTAATTCTATTGTGTTCCCGAAAGATATTTTGCCCTGTTTTTTGTTTTGAAACTACCACTAAAATTTATGTTATGAATTTGATCTTTTACTCTCATATATTACTCCCCATATTCAATGTCCATGATCAGACTGTGATCTCGAGCTATCTGGGTTATTATTGTAGCTATTATAGTCGGGATTGGCAATTTTGAGCTATCCCGGTCCCGGTCCCGTTCAAGTCACATTTTTCATCCCGGTCCCGGTCCCGGTCAAATGCTGATTTATGATCCCGGTCCCGGTCCCGGTTAATTCAGGATTCTTGGTCCCGGTCCCAGTCAATCACTCAAATTTGCCGGGATTTTGACCGGGATCTTTTACATAATTTCATTCACTGTGATTTTAAGTTTTCACTTTCATTCATTGTGAATTTCATCTTTAAACAACGTAGATCGTGGTCTTGCTCGCTGGGAGTGTTCACTACACTGCCCTGCTGTGTAGTGTGTACACAGTGTAGATCAAAGCTATTTCTACTCGGTAACTAATATCGTTACATAACTCATAAGTGCAAAGTAACATCAAGTTTTCAACTCGGGCTACGCCCAATTGTCAATTGGAATTGGAGAATGAAACTGTTGAATAATTTGAGGGATCATTGATTGAGGAATGAGGAATGAGGGTGAACTTGAGTAATCAGTACATGAACATTATTGGTGTAGTACATTAGGCCCATGCCCCATATTGAGTATTGACGGGTTTTTTCTAGTTTTTTCTAATTTAATATTCTAGTTATTACTTATTCAAATTGTTCAATTATAATGTAAATGAAAGTTGCAGCTTTCAATATGAGAATACCAGTTTTGGTCCCGGTAATCCCGGTCATCCCGGTCATCCCGGTCATCCTGGTCATCCCGGTAAAATTGGATTGTTGGTCCCGGTCCCGGTCCCGGTCAAGTCACATTTTGTATCCTGGTCCCGGTCCCGGTCCCGGTAAATTGATAATCTCAGTCCCGGTCCCGGTCAAGTCACATTTTGTATCCTGGTCCCGGTCCCGGTCCCGGTAAATTGATAATCTCAGTCCCGGTCCCGGTCCCGGTCCCGGTCCCGGTCCCGTTCCCGGTCAGGCCTGAAATCATGTCCCGGTCACCTCCTGATTATAGTAAGTCTACTCCTTTTAATGGTATAACCTGTAAGCTGAATTATAGTTTTTTATATTCAGGCCGGGTTTGTACTTGTAAATATATTGTGTACCGAATAGAAACTTTCCCTTTTTTGACACCGCCAGTAAAATGATATTTTTGCGAATTTTACGTCCTACTCTCACATTTTCTCCGTTTCAAACTCTCCTGGTAACTTAAGTCTTAGATGCTTACAGTTGACAAACTGTTTACATGAAACAATGAGCTCAAAAATTGTTTGATAGCAGCCGGTTTTTCATTTGTTCAGATGACTTTTGTTCTTTAAACTTGTAACTGCCTAGTGCCTACGCGTATGGTTGATGG